AACTGCATACCTGCTCACAACCATGAATATTAATATGAAAAGCCAAATCAATGCTCAATAATAACAATCTAAAGTATCAGTGGACTTGCAACCAAAAAAAGCTTGAAAGACAAAACAAAGTATTAATTCAATCACCTCTTCTTCATTTACATTATTTCTAGAGATATATCAAACTTCATCAACTAGGGGACCTTCCTAAGCCAGCTTAATATTTACTTTCTCAAGTGAAATCAGTACTCTGAAATCACCATTACTCAGCCTTAATTAAACAATGTAAACTGTATTCTTGAAAGATAAACTTTTTTAAAGAAACACTAACAAGCTGGGCACAGCCTGTGATGCTAAGTTTGAGCTCAGCCTTGGTAATTTAGCAATTTATCAAGGCCCTGTCTCAAGAATTTTTTAAAGCTGGGGAGGAGGAGTGTAGCTCAACATGAAGGTCCTGAGTTCAACACCTAATACTGGGGAAAAATTCTAATAAATGTGCTAATCTTTTCTAACAGAGATGAACCCATCTGTACAGAATAAAAATTAAAATTTCAAAAAAAAGAAACTATAAAAATACAAAATAAAGTTCTAAAAATACATGATTTTCAAAACACAAGAGAGTATCTGGGATCCTGTGTTAGCATCAACTCAAGTCTGTGTTATTTAGGATAATTTATTGTTCCTGGTATAAATTTTCCTAGGGGACCAAATTAGGTTTCGGTGAAAGCTTATATTAATCAAGAAAACACCCAAAATTCTTATTCATTGGAATTTGTACAAAGACAGTGGATGTCTCCATTAGAATGAAACTTTCAGGAGGGCAGGGATATATCTATTTTGTTCTCCACTGTACATTCAGTACTAAACCCAATGCCTAGCACAGAACTAAGTCTTCAAAAGATATCTCCTGTTAGCTGGGCATGGCGGTGCATGCCTGTAATCCCAGCACTCAGGAAGCTGAGGCAGGAGGATCACCTTGAGTTTGATGCCAGCCTGGGCTACGTAGAGAGTTCAAGGCCAGGCTGAACTGCATAGCAAGACCCTGTCTCAAAATAAATAAATAAATAAATAAATTAATTAATTAATTAATTAAATATTTGCTGCATATTTGAGTGAGTGTTCAACTTTGTTGGGAAAAGTAAGGTGCATAAAGCAATAAAGATTTCCTCAAAGTAAATTGAATTTGTTTTCAAAAATCCAGCATTAGACATGACCAGAATATTTCACAATATATGTAGATGAAACTCAGTCATGATTTTGCAAAAAAGTAAAACCTGTTAGTGAAGTCTATAAACATTTAGTGCTGAGAGATCTCTTGATATGAAAATGATTTCACAAGAGCCATTAAGTTTATGCCAATATTTACTGGTACCATATTGAAGTCCATATTTGGACTTCAATACAACTAACTGGACAGAGTGCCATTTCATTTGAGATTTAAATTGAACTATAGGAATCAGCAATGAATCAGAGACAGTTCAACTGGTGTTAAACAACACCAAAAAATACAATTATTAAACAGTGTTCCATTGGCATGAGAAATCAATGTGTAATTATCACATTATTAATTAACTTCAGTATTTATTTGCTGTTTTCTACAAAATTAAAAAAGGATTAACATATATTTGTTCAGTTTTGTAAGCTAGATATCACCTCTTTGGACAAATGAATAAATACAAATTTTATCATAAATATATTTGGGGTTGTTCATTTAAAAGATCATGTAGGTTCCATAGGCTCCACAGGTTATTTTATAAGAGCAGTCTACCCTTATATTTTAATTCCAAAGTTTTTAAACTCACCCTTTCAACTCCTCCTCCCTTGGGTCTTCTCATGCCCAAGGCTGAATATTCCAGCAAAAATGGCTCTAAAACCACTTTAAGCCTTAGGTTTAAATTTCCTACTTTTCTCTCATCAGCATGCGCTCTAACTAAAGCAGTATGTAAACAAGTATTTGAACTAATTAAAACTATTTAACAGTAGATAATCTGTCATACTCAATTGTGCTTCTTTCACATGTGTGCACACATATTCTCATAATACATAAATACATAATACATAAATACATGAAAATACATTTTTTGTGAAATGAGAAATCTGAACCTAAAAGGCTAGAAATAACATTTTCTCAAAATGTCCATCACCAGCACCACATTTCAATGCAGGCTTTCACTTTTGATGGTCACATTAAAAGTACAAACACAAACAGTTATGTGTGGGGGGTTGTTTATTAAAGTTAGCTCATACTCATTAAAAGTAAAATGTTCTTATTACAGATTTTGGGGTATAGCTTAAAACATTGTAAGCTTTGGGGGGGGGAGTCCATATAATTGCTTACTATTTCTAAAAGGTACCTATTTATGATATCTACAAAGTGATATTAAAGACCATGAGGATACAATCTTATACTAAATTCAGGAATCTTTAGTGTGTGTGTGTGTGTGTGTGTGTGTGTGTGTATGGTTATTTAAATTCATTTCAGTATTTTCACTGAGAAAATAAACTAATTTCTTCCAAATGCTGCCATCTTTTCAATTATTGGCCAGTTACAGTAATGTTTTCTTACATTGAACTAAATTCTACTACTCTATAACTCCTAGCCATTTTTCCTAGCTCTATTTTAGAAATAGCATAAAACAACTCTATCTTCACCCTAAAATATAGTTCTTCACTAAATAAAGATCACTCTAACCTCTATTCTTTCCTACTATGTCCTAATCTTCAGTCTCATAAAATACCATTAATGATTAATGAAATTTTTTTGCCTTCCTTTCACATTTTGAGCCTGTCACAATATCTCATCTTGTAAACTGATCAATAAATTTCAGAAAATGAACTAGATGTGGAGGTTCTCAGACATAGAGAGCTTTGTTGCAGGTGACTTTTGATATTCTACTGACCCTTAGCTTTATAGGTCCTGTGGCCTTGTCCTGATTTCTGGGACATGTCAGATCCTTACACATGGGGATTTTCCTACTTTCCATGGGCTTGTGATGATATACATTTGATTTGGCTCCATCTTACAGAATAGTGCTTCACAATATCGTCTCATACTTCTGACTTTTTTCACATAAGAAATCCATTTTGGGTTGTCAATCTGAAAAATACCGTACAACTTCCACTGTAGTCCATTTATATCATAAATCTACCAATCCTATAAAGAATCTTTTTATTTAAAAAAAAAAAACCTCCCCAATTTGTATCCAACCATCATTATCTCCATTGAAACAAGTGTTTCTACTCAGTTGTATTCAGTCTTCCTAGAACTGTAACTGGCAGAGAAGTGAGGACGTCTTTGGAATAAAATACATGATAGCAGTTACCACCACAACCTTTAAGATGGCATCATCAATGTTTAAAGCCAAGAGGATACATTTCTAAAAGTAAAAGTCCCTTAGAAGACAGACTAGGCTATTCATATACTTCTTACAATTTTTCAAAAGATAAAGCATCTGGGCCGGGGATTTAGCTTAGTGGTTCCACAGCCTGCCTCCCAAGCTCAAGGTCTGAGTTCGATCCCCAGTACCAAAAAAAAAAAAAAGATAAAACATCCCAGGGTTGGGAGATTTCCTGGACTTACATGTGTAAATGATTAATCAGGACAGAAAACACTGAAGAAGGGGGTCTCACAAGTAATGAAGAACCCAGCCCTGAGGGAATGGCTACCGCTTGCTTCTTGGATGGACTGAAATCCAGGTGCCATGATTTATCTGTTCACTCACAGAGAATGAAAAAGTCCTCTGATGTTTTTAACTCTGAAATAACAATTTAGTCCTGAGAAAGAATGGTTCTGTTTAACACTTGACAGTGTAAGTTTATTTAAAGTGAAGCTGCTACCCCTGGTCAGGCCTGCTCCAGACCTGTGATAGGACATTTGCCTCTCTTTTTCTCTGCCTACGCCCTTCTCTTTCCTCCCATTCTGTGGGCTGCATGGGGAAGGGAGACACTAGTAGGAGAGGCAGCACCAGGAAAAACTAACCTAATGGCCAGAATGGTGAACTACTGTCATTTCCTCTGATTATGGAGCTGTGCAAGCTGATGTGCTCTCTCGGTGGCTTGCTTGGCCTAACATCCTCACATCCCTAGAGATGTCTTACAGCCAGCTGGCACCTTGAGACCCCTGTAGGACTCTGATTTCCAAAGGGAGCACCTTATTGCCTGCAGCCCATGCCCTCCTGGTAGCTCTTATTTAGGAGGTAGGGGTACACCTTGTTCTCCCGCTTGGTCTACTTCAGACCTGCAGGCCACTCAACCTGTCCTCACTGTTTAGATTTCTCCAGCCTGAATCAAATGCCTGTCCACTGTACCTCAAACTTCAAGGGTCACCTACCAAGGTTTCTGAGTGGTTTTCTTGAAGCTTGTTTACCTAAGCTTGAAGTGAGGGAAGTCCTTTCCACCTTCTTCATATTTACCAAACTGAAAAATTCCTTCAAAAAATATTTTGTCTTACTTTTACTTCTTCCTAGCCTTCCCTTATAGATCCTGGAAGCGGGTGGCAGTGTTTGCTCCCATACACTTCCTTCATGGTCCTGCATTAGCAGGGCTGACCTCTCACCTTGGAATGGAAAGCCTTCTCCATGTACTTTCTGTTCTGCTTTCTGTTTAATCCTTAAGTGGAATAAGATAACAAAAGGGAAAGGGAAAAGGGAGGACAATAGAAGGGAGGGAAGAAGAAGCCATTCCATTTTGCCATTGTTATGAAGATGAAACTTAAGGGAATGGTTTTCTTATTATTGGATTTGAACTCACTAGTGTATACAATAATTCAACCATTATACTTTCAATATTAATGCACTCTTCTTTTTTTCTGCTGTTCATTAAAACACAGCAGCACATTATAAAGTTGTTGCCAATTACATGACAATAGCTAGAAAGGCACCCTAAATTAAATTACATATAGATACTCAGGTAATGCTACTTTTACCATACATTGTGTAGATCACTTTATACATGTACATTTTAGTACTAGATATTAAAAGGGAAAAAACAAATTTTTTATTTCTGGTTCCTAGGCCGAGATTATGAACGGGATAAAGTCTGCAAGGAGCTCACCCAGCTGGGAAAGGATGACTTCAGAACGCTGTGAGTGTACAGTACCCTCTCAACTCTGTTACTTCACCCTGAACAAAACTAAACACAAGCCAACAGCCAGACAATACAAAGGAAGGAAGAACTGTGTCTTTGAAGACAAAGCAACAGTCCTGCGGGACCTACACCAGCAGAGCCAGGCAAAAGGGGGACACCCAACAATTCCAGTGGGTTTCTGATGACTGTGAAGTAATAATTTGGCACCAGTAAATTTATGAATGAGTTTAAAGAGAGTAATTAAGGGACAGTTTTCTGAGGTAAATTAAGATATAATAGTACATTGTAGGACTCTGGTAAAAAAAGGTAATGAAGTACAAAACAGGACCACTACAGGAGGCTTGGAACAGTTATTGACTGGTTTGATTAGAACAAAAGCTACTTTTAAAATTCAACCTCATTTTTAATTAGCCAAATTAAAAAAAGTAAATGTATGAAGTATTCCATTTAGAAATTGACCACTTCTCATATTTTAATATATGCAAAACTGTGAAAATTCAAATATAATGAATATTATAATTATATTTTCTCCTCAGGTCACTAGTCCTCTACAGCAGAAAGTTTTCCAGCGGCACCTTTGAGCAGGTCAGCCAACTTGTTCAGGAAGTTGTCGCCTTGACAGAAGAGTGCTGTGCAGAGGGAGCTGACCCCAACTGCTATGACACCAGGGTGAGTGTGCTCAGCCACTGTCCTTATAGTGGCCCTGAGCAGAAATCCACCATAGCCTCCATGTCACACCTCTGAGAAGCTGAGACAACAACTCTGCTTGCTCCAAGTTTAGGGAAAATACAAAGCCAAAAGTTCTGAAAGATGATGGAAGGTAGGATGAAGAGTTTGCTTCTATGACTCATTCATCACATTACTTTCTTCCCTGGCAGGAAGGGCCTTCAGAAGTTTAACATTAGAAAGGAGACCAGTATTCGAAATAAGGACAAGGACATTAAATTACTTTTCACACATAAATGCTGTGTTAGTTACTTTTCTCATTGCTGAGACAAAATAACTGGCACCCAAAGTTAAAGGAAAGATTTATTTAGCTCACAGTTTGTAGAGTTTCAGCCCATAATCAGCTGGCTCCAAGGCAAGGTGGCAGAGGGGCAACCATTCCTGGTGGTGGAAGCAGCAAAAGCATCAAGGGACCTTAACAGTCTTTCTGTCCCTTTATCCTATTCAGACTATTTTGGGGTGGTAGTATTAATTCCTTAATCCTAGTGCCCTGAGGCCTAGTCCACCATGAATCAATCACACTCTAGATTCTCCAAAATAGCCTATGACAACATGAAGTTTTGGGGAGGACATCTAGACAAACCATAACCAATGCCAAGGTAATTTTTCCATGATGAAAAGACTATTTCTAATATTTTTTTTCTCTGAGATGTCAATTTCTTTTCTACAGTTTTATCTCAAGTATTGAATTATTTCCAAAAAGAATACTCTGTTACTACAATCCCTCAGGTGATGCTTTGTCCTTGCACGTACTCAACAGTGTAAAGGGGTTGAGGCAGGAAATCAGAGCACAGTAGTGGCCTTCAGCCCATGCCATTGTTGCAAGTACATCTTCAAACTCTGGAAAAAACTAATTTTCACACCTTCATCTTTGACCTACTGAATCAAATTCCTGGGTTGTGTAAACTTTGTATTTCTTATTTTTACATAGCCAATGAATAACTGTGATGCTAAAGCATCCTCCAGAACAATTACTTAAAGAGTTGTAGAAGGGGAGAATAGTTAAGTAGCAATAGTCTGCTCATTTGAAAAAGGGAGGGGAAGGAGGCCCTCATCCCTGCTGGAGTAACTGCAGCAAGATACAGTAGGGGCTCGCATGGGAACCTTAAGGGGGTGTTCCTGTGACCTTCAGAGAGCTGAAGCCCCCACAGACAGACGGAGCAAGGAGCTGCAGTCGAACATATTCTATTATGAAGGTTTTATTGTTTGTGCTACTCTGAGGGAGTACTTTCTTAGCATAAATAAGATCTTGTACTTGCCTCTAATGTAATTGTGCAACTGTTCGTGTTCACAAATCGTCTCACAAAAACTTTCCCATGGGCATTTTGTTACTAATGAGAAATTTTAATTTACAGACTAAGATGTTATGCAAAAGGATAAATACAGAGCAAAATAAAAGACAGATAATAAGAAGCAGGGAGTTAGATCTTTCTTAGGGAGGAAGGGGATCAAGAGATGGGGGGAAGGGGATGGAGGGAAAGAAGAGGGATGAAAAGGGAATTAAGGTGTGTAATGTCCATGTACCAACTTCACATCATGTAAACATTATGCACTTCCAACATGAACTAATGAAAAAAAGATGCTATGCTGAGTGGAGAACTACAAGGGTAGAAACTTGCATATTCTGTGAGTGCCCCTTTTTCCTCTTCTCATTGCAGACCTCAGCCTTGTCTGCCAAGTCATGTGAAAGTGACTCTCCTTTCCCGGTGCACAAAGGAACTCCTGAGTGCTGTACCAAAGAGGGCCTGGAGCGGAAGCTCTGCATGGCCGCACTCAGTCATCAGTCTCGAGAATTCCCCACCTACGTGGAGCCAACAAATGATGAGATCTGTGAGGCATTCCGGAAAGATCCGAGGGGGTTTGCTGACCAGTAAGCTGTTCTCATTACAAATAGAACATTAGGTTATAAAAAATCTGAGCTGAATCTCATCTAACTACTAACTCTACGCAACACTGTCTTTTACCCCAGCCTGCGCTAGTAGGAACTGGGCTCTGACCCAGGATAGCCCCCTTCCTGTCAGAACTGACTATTGAGAATGCCTTTCTCAGCCAGAAACAAAACTATCCTGAACTCTCACCCACTGGGCCCAGTTCTATTATCTGAAGCAGAAGCAGTTTCATCCCCCCTCCATGTGACCTGTATTCAAACATGTAACAGCCTCTATTGTAATTCCTCTATGCAAAAGGATTCTTGTGGACTCCAAATGATGAAGCAACTCTGTTGCCATACACATTTTAAATACTTTCCCATAAAGCATAAGAAATGCAATTTTTTCCCTTCATTCCTATGTATCTCCAGAAAAACCTATGAAAGTGATACAGGAACTACAAAAGCGAGGGTATGACTCTGACCTTCTCATTATTTAATATGAATGTGAAGTCAGATTAGACTCTGATTACGTTAGTCTAGGAAAGTCTAAAAATGGACAAAAATGAGGAAAAGTCAATGTACGAGAAAAATAATATATACATATACAGGTAACACAAAAATCAAAAGTAATGTCATTCAAATTGTCATCATTTTATAAATGTTATAAATTGGCTTGTCCAGTCCTATAAATCTGCATAGAGACTTTTTCCAAAGTATCAGAATCTTTTAGCTCATAAGGACTTGTATTCTTAAAAATTAAAATGGTTTCTCCGAACAAATAAGTAAATTAATGTGCAGCAGCTGTCTAGAATAATCAACTAAGATACATAATGAAGAGTAAATCCACTAACTGGATTACTTATAATTAATTCAACAAGCAGCTTAATAAGCAGCTGCCATGGGTGATACACTTGTATAGATATCAAGTGAATAAAGGGAAAAATTACTCCTCCCTCAGGCAGATTACATAGGAATCAAAGAACCTATGTTTTTTAAATAAATACACTGATTAAACATGATTGGTACTATAGTTCTTTCTGTAAATCCCTAATGGTTTTTAGACATTAAAACTGTAAACTCGTATCATTTCTCCGTCAAAATACTTACGAAGCATTAGGTTTTGTTTTCTTACAAATTTTTAATTGATCTTATTTTTCTCCCACAGATTTTTGTATGAATATTCCAGTAATTATGGACAAGTCCCACTGCCACTTTTAGTTGGTTACACCAAAATTTATCTCTCTATGGTCGGGTCCTGCTGTACCTCCCCAAGTCCAAACGTGTGCTTTTTGAAAGAAGTAGGTTTCATTTCTTACATAGTTATGTTCTGTAGTTTTTCCCTCATCTAATTACATTCTTTTTAAATAAGTAGGTGTTGAGATTTAGCAATTAGTAAAAATTTCTAAAATGGTTCTATTAGCATTTCATTAACTTGGAAATAAACATGCCACTTCTGGAAAGGAGGTATCAATAAGTCCTTTTAATCAGTGCTCAGTTTTCTATTCACCAAAAACATACTGAAATTAATATCTGCTTTTGCTATTGGTGTGCATTGTTTTCAATGGGTCTTGATCTTTTAATGAAATTCTCTGTCTTATTCTCTAGAGACTTCAGATTAGACACTTGTCACTCCTGACCGCTATGTCAAATCAAGTTTGTTCACAATATGCTGCTTATGGAAAGGAAAAATCAAGGCTCAGGTAAAGACTAAGCACAATCAGATTTAGAAGTTTGGTTCTGCACATCTATGATGTTAAGGGTCGCTAAAACGATATTTGTAAAAGACAATATAGAACAGAATCTACCACAGAACTACTCAAATAAAGTGACATTTTCTCTAGCACTTGTGTTTGCCTTTTACATTGAGATCATGCATTTGTCAAGTAGAACATAAGAATTTATAACATAAAACCACCATATGCAGCTCTTAATTAATCATTACTTTATACTTGGATTAGTGGCAAAGAATTTACTCCAGAAAAATATCTTCTTTCTCAACTAGGAAGGGGATCAAGAGATGGAAGGGAGGGGATGTGGAGGAGAAAGGATGAAAAAAGGAATGTGTCATGCCCATGTCCCAATTTCCCACAAGGAATGTAGACATTATGTACTGCAAATATGTACTAATAAAAAAAGAAGTATCACCTGTCCTGAACAAATGTTGTTACAAAATACTGCTCTCTTATTTTTGATAAGAAAAAATTATAGATTTCCTAAATAGTGATAGGATAGAAAATGTTCCAGTTATAGTATATAAATATAAAAGAATACTACAGTTTGCCAAAATTATATTGTAAGAGCATGCTTAATAAAAAATACAAAGCACTGCTCAAGGAAAGCAAAGAGAAAATACAGTAAATGGAAAAATATCCCGTGCTCATGGTTTGGAAGACTTAATGCTATTAGAACATCCATACTACTCAAAGCAATCTGCTGATTTAGGATCTCTGTCAAAAACGTATTTTGCCGAAACAGAAAATATCTGTGTTAGTTTTCTATTACTAAAACAAATACCTGAAATAATCAACTTATAAAGGCAACAGGCTTGTTTTGGTAACAGTTTGAGAGGTTTCAGTCTGGGATGGGCTGGGCCTGTGGCTGTAGGGCTGGGATGCCATAGCATGGTATGATCACAGGAAAGCAGACCGCTCACTTTACAGCCAGGAGACAAAAGAGAAAGAGGGATGGGGTTTCATTATCCCTTGGAGGGTGTGTCTTCAATAACCTAGAGACCTCTCCCTAGGCCTCACCTCTTAAGGATTTGACTACCTCCCAAATCAGGACCTGGGGACATTCCAGATCCAAGCTATAGCACCATCTTAGAATTAAAAGAGGGTCTCAAGGGACCTCAAATGGTCAAAGCAATTTTGAAAAAAAGTAAACTTGGGAGCTTAAAACATCTTGATAGCGAAACACACTACAAGGTAACAGCACTTGAAATATGTGATACTGACATGAAGTTAGATAAATAGACCAAAGGGATAGAATAGAGAACCCAGACATAAAATGTCTTCATATATGAACAACAAGAGTGCCAAAACTACACATGACAGTTTCTTCAACAAGTGATGTTGAGAAAACTGGGTATCTACAGACAAAAGAATGATGTTGGACCCTGGCATTACACCATATACAAAAGTGAACCCAAAAAGGGATAAGGACATAAATGTAAGACCTAAAACTGTAAAACTAGAAGAAAACACAGGGGAAAGTTTTCAGGGTACTGGATCTGGCAATGATTCCTTAGATGTGACTCCAAAATGTGGTCAAGAAAAATAAGGGAAATGGAACCACATCAAACACTAAAACTTTTGTTTAAAGGACATAATCACAGAGAGAAAGAGCAATGCAAGGCATGGTTGATATGCACAGTGACCATTTAAATTTTAAAAATTTATTACCATAAAAGATGCATTGCTGTTAATTGCTGTCTGGGAACACATTTGTCCCATTGTTCTTGCCACTTTCTGAAGCAATTCTGGAAGTCATCTTTCATGAGTGTCTTTATAAGATTTAATCAAAAATACAGTGAATGCTGCCACCAAGGGCCATCTAATAAAAGGCAGGCTCATATAAACATAACAGTGTGCCTCATTTACCGTATTCACTGCATCACTGCACCATGTGATGTCTGGCTCTTCCCCAAAGTCAAAATGACCATGAAAGTGCAGTGTTTTAAATTGATTCAGGCATCGAGCCAGCCAGGACAGTGCAACTAATGACACAAAAGAGGATTTCAGAAAGTGTTTCAGAAAGTGGCAAGAATGAAGAGATATGTGTGTTTGAAGTGAGGGTGAGTGTTCTGAAGGGGATTCATGCCAGTATGTCTTTTACTACAATAATTATGTAATTTAAAACATTAATCATATGTTTTGATCACTACATGTATTTTCACTCCCATGTTCATTGTAGCATTATTCACAATGGCCAAGAGGTAGAAGCAAGCCAAATGTATTTTGACAGATGAAATGATAAAGAAAATGTTGTATATACATGCAATAGAATATTTTGTAGTTTTCAAACAGATAATACCATCACATGCTACAACACAGAGGATAAACTCTGAGAATATGATATTAAGTGAAATAAGCCAGTTAACAAAGGACACATACTACACAATTCCACTCATAGAAATTACCTAAATTAGTTAAAATTATGAAAACAAAGTAGATAGCTCATTGCCAGAAATTAGGGACAGCAGCAGAGGACTCAGTGTTTAATGGGAATATAATACCAGTTTTGCAAGCCAAAACTGTTGAAGAGGTCCATTGCAAGGCAATGGGAATACACATAACACTGTTGGGCTCTATACATTAAAATTGGTAAGGAGGGTAAATTTAAGGTTGTACTTTTACTACAGTTCTTAAAAAAGAATATTTAATGATATCTTGACATATTGAGAATATTAATGTAGAAAAGAATATATAATTATATTCCTGATATCGTGGGTAAAAAAATCAGGTCTGAGAACAGTACAGGATAATTCCAATTACACATACAAATCATGTAAAATACTTAAGAATTTTATAACATCAATATTTATCAACTCTGTAGTGTAGGGCTATAGTTTTTTTTTTTATTCATTAAGTTTATTGGTACATTTTAGGTATACAATATAATGACATTCATCATTGGGAATTTTGTGCCTTTACATGATATATCTTGGTTCTTATTTTTTTTCCTCATTCCCCTGCCCTCCTTTCAACCCCTCCAACCCACCCTATTTACAAAGACTTTGTTTCCAATTTTTCCTTTTTGCATATTTATTCCTTTCCTTTCTTTCCTTTCCCCTATACCTCCCACTTCCCCTTCCCCTTTGGACCTTTTCTTTGGTACTGGGGATCAAACTCAGGACCTTGCACTTGTGAGTTAGGTGCCGGAACCACTGAGCTAAGTCCCTGGCCCTGGACATTTTCTTCCTATTTCATATCATGTATTCCACATTTTGATCCTTATTTACACTTTCAGTTTCTCACACTAGAGAAGCTATTTAGTATTTACACATGTGTGTCCTATTTATTTCACTTAAGTGTATGGCCTCAATGTGCATCCATTTAGCTATAAATGTCTCTAGTTTCTCCTTCTTTATGGCTGAGTAGTACTCCATTTTATTAAAAAAAACATAGCTTTTTTATTACTCCTTTTAGCTATAGTTTTGAAGTAAATTTATAAAGACAAAAGCACAATGTAGGCCTCATGGATAGAAAGACATGACTGCTTTCTTTTTTTCCTGTACAATTTTTTATTTTTTCTCCATTTTTTTATTTTACATGTTTACAGTACCCAGTGTTTGCACTCCATGTGTGGAGTTGGTACATGTGCATAACACATCTCAATTCCCTTTTCATCCCCTTTTCCTCTCCCTCCCTCCATCTCAGGGCCACCTTTCCATTTGAGAAAGATCTAGCTCCCTATTTCCGATTACCCATGCTTTCTTTATTGCTATTTTGGATCCAATATTTTAAAGGTATTCTTCAACTGTGTAGATTTGACCAGAAGAGAAACTGCTTTTGAGTTCTAAAAATGTGAAAATATTCATTTGGGATGATTTGATTTTGAGTATGTGGTTTTGATACACAGAATCTATCACATAGCAGATGTTCTCCATAATTGAAAGTACATTATTCATCTAGGTAGTGTGTTGGTGAAACCAAGAAAACTGAGAATGTGGGTATGCTAACAAATTCATTTTTAACTCATTAGCCATCTCATAAAATTAGCCCAAAAAGTGCCTACTGCTGATCTGAAGGATGTTTTGCCAGTAGCTGAAGATATGACTGCAATCCTCTCCAAATGCTGTGAGTCTACCTCTGAGGACTGCATGGCCAAAGAGGTACTATGACCACCATTTACATCATTGTGTGCAGTGCTACGTACATATTCTAACTGGCACACACTCTTCTGAACTGTTTTTCACATGCATTATCTTCTTAACTCTGCAAAGAAAGATTAACAAGTTTCAAAAATCTGAAACTATGCAACTAAAAGTGAAAGAATCAACATACAAGGACAAAATTAACTGACTCCCAAACTCTTACGTTACCTGTGCTGTATAATATCCATTGGCTACATATGATTATTTAAATTAATAATTCAAATTGAATATAGGTATATTTAGATTGAATATAATTTAAAATTCAGTACTTCGCTAATACTAGCCACATTTCAAATGTGTAATAGTACTGGATAGTGCAGAAATAGATCATTTTCATTACTATATAAAGTCCTATTAGTATTGAAACCATTGTACTACTAGAGTCTATTAATGTTTTTATTACACTTTTTATAATTTAATGGGCAGTTCAAATGTCACTATTTTTAATTTGTGTAATTTTCTCAAGTAGATACCAATTGAACTAATTGCTTTAGATGAAGATCAGTGTTCAAAGTCTTGTTCACCTCCTTAGTAAAAGGTACATTGAGTTGCCTGGTCTTTTTCCATCAAAATGAGTGACCATGTTAATGGATTTTTTTTTTTATCATTATGTATAAGGCTAACTAGGACTCTGCTGCAAAAATATCCTTCTAGGACTTATCAGATTAAATCTTATTTTTAATAAGGCCATCAAGGAAATTAACAATGCACAAATTCACCATTCCATTTGTAGCTGCCTGAATACACAGTAAGAGTCTGTGACAACTTATCCAAGAAGAATTCTAAGTTTGAAAACTGTTGTCAAGAAGAAGCACCCTTGGGCATTTTTACATGCATATACTTCATGCCAGCTGCCCTACCACTTGAGCTGCCAGCCATTGAGTTGCCCACAAGTACAGAAATATGTGACCAAAGGAACACAAAAGCCTTGGATCAGTAAGTAGGGGTGCTCTGGAATGTGCTTCTGCTCTGCTTTTACCTGAATGAAGGCCCAGCTGAGGGAAGGTATGCTGTCACTCACTTCAAACACAGGCAACATTCTTTGCATGTTTTTTATGGAGTAGAAGTATTTGTTAATTGATTTACAATTTCTCAAATTTTAAAAACTTAATAATCCATTTAAAAGGCAGAAAAATTGATTTTAATAGAAAGATTTTCATATGGAGAAACAAACAAACATAGAATTTCAGATTCTGCCTCTTGCTTGGATTACTATGCATGCATGGCAAAAGAAGTGACTTGATCTTTCTGAACTTGAATCTCTTCTTACATAACTTGAAAAAATAATATTGCCTGTGTGCACAAGGTTGCTAATGAGAAATGCACGTAGAAATGCAAGTGAAAGTGAATGTGAGATTTTTATACAATAAAATTCACCACTCATACAAAATATAGTAAGACAAAGATTTTATCACATATTAACTAGTTTTATTATATTACTTATAATTCACTACCTCTGAATATAAAAATATTTAAATGTGAAGAAATGACAAATCTTTACTTTGTTTTACCTAATTATAAAAAGAACTATAACATAAATATGCCATATACAATGAATGTATGTGCACTAATAGCATAAAACTAGTTCACAAATAGATTGGTAAAACACTTCATGGTATCAATTTCTAATATCAGACAGCAGAATTTAGATAGGACTGGAGCTTTACATTTTTCTTATTAATACTGTTTTTATGCATGCATAGAAAAGCATAAGATAAAATGTAATAGAAGAATTTACACAAACATATTTTTACACAAAAGTTGCTTACAGTACCCACTCGATGTTACCTATAGAGTCAATTGTATTACAAAGGACAATTCCTTAGGAGTTTGAAGATGTGTCTATGTATATATGACATATATTTATATATTATATATTATATATTACATTCACTTATATTATGTAATATATAAATATACACTTCAAAGTATTAATAACATATTTTAATGAAATTTTTATATAATCTAAGGCACACACATATCTACACATGCTTTGAAAAATAATGTCTACCTTCTTTTCTCTCTCATGCCAGGTATACATTTGAACTGACTAGAAGGACTCCTATTCCAGAAGTATTCCTCAGCAAAATAGTGGAGACCACCCTGAGAAGCCTTAATGAATGCTGTGACTGGGAAGACTCTGCTGCCTGCTTTACTGATAAGGTATACTCAGGAATTTCTTTATCAACATGTAGATCAAGGGTTGGTAAACTGTGGTTCATGGGCGACTGCCTACTTTTGTATGGCCTGCAGGATCAGAACAGAAAAAAATCACTTTTCAAGTCTTAAATATTGAAAAAAATTATCAAAAGTAGATGACTAATTCATGGTACATGAAAATTTAATGAAATTCAAATTTCAGTGTTCATTATACAGTTTCATTGGAATACAGCAATCCTCATTGTTTACACATTGTTCAGGACTACTTTTGTGGAGAGGGGAGGAGTTATAATGGAAAACTCCTATGGCCTGCAAAGCCTAAAACATTTACTTACTATCTGGCCTTCTACAGAAAATGCTTGCCAATACCTGGTGTGGATAAGATATGAAATTCTGATTTAGTAGTCTCATGGGACAATGTTTCACTACAAAGGATTTTGTTATAGGATTATTATTTTTTTAACAGGGTTCTCAACTGAAGAAGAAATTATCTTCTTTCATTGAGAAGGGACAAGAAGTATGTGCAGATTATTCAGAAAACACATTTACTGACTACAAGAAAAAGTAAGAGGCTTCTTCTTGTTGCCTTCTCCAAATGCATCCATCATATTTGTCTAGTGCTGTATTATTATTTTAACAATAATTAAAAGCTTAGGATATGCTAAGTGAACAATAAAATGAAGAGGTGCAATTAAAGAGCTTTTAAAAGTAGAATCTAACAACAGTATAAGGAGATACCTGATTCTTGGGAAGTCTCCATTTGAAAAGACCAGGTCATTCTCAACCTTATTTAATAACTATCCCAGGTGCATTTGAAATCATTTTGAACCAGAACTCCAAGTGAGCACAAATAGAACTTCCAAAAATATCTCCCTAAAGAATTCTAAAGGCAGAGCATCTTCAATGATCCCCATGAACTGTACCTTAGCAAAACTAAGAGAAAAGGAAACCTACAAGAGCCTTAAGTTTGAAATGGTGATTTTTCAGTTATCAGAAAAGTGGTTAATGGTATAATCTCAAAAGAACATTATGGATGCAGGATAGATAACATTAAGTAGATAATTCAAAATTAAGTTGTCTGTTAACAGTTTCAAATTCCAGAGTTGCATAAAGGCAACTGAGAAATTCTTTTATATTCCCGATTCCAGATGAACATGGAGTAGACTTGACATTTGGGCTAGGAAATTAGAGTAGATTGAGATTACTGAGTTTAGGTATCTGACATTCCCTGCTCCCACCATTTATTTTTCCCATCTTTTACATTCCTTCTGGTCAGTCTTACCTCCCATTCCTGCTACCTACTTGTTTCAATAAAGCTTTTATGGACAAACTACTCTCCCTATATGCTTGTGTCTCTTCCCAGCATCCAAGCCCAACTCCAGGTAAATTTGGATTTCCTCTCCCTCCCATTGGTCATTTCTAGGCCAGCAAGAATATCTTGCAGAAGGTCACAAAATCAGGGGCACCAAAATCGCAGATTGTTCAATGAAAGAATAGAGTACTACCAAGTCTATCACTATCTTGAATGTGAGACAGCAAATGAGCAGCTAAAAATAAGTCAATGCACTCAACTCCCATTTTGGTGCTTTGTAACACAGGGAATTGAGAAGAGACCAATTGAGGGGGGAAATATGGGAGGAAGGAAACACATAAAAGCATAGGAAGTCTTGTAAAGGAAATATTCTTTAAGGAGCTTGAAAGCTAAAACTGGAGATGGAGTGAAAGGTCAGAGAAATAGAAGAGAAAATCATTCATGTTGAACTAGTGGCCAAACAAAAGGGGAAAGATTGGAGATCAGTTCAGCAGCAATTTGTATGTTTACTGTCATGGTTATGAAAGAGGCATAGATTTTTTCTTCCTAATCTCAAATATCACCTAGATTCATTCCACGATTACAGAAAAGATAGAATTTTTTGATACTGGTAAGGATTTCTATTTTTATTTTTTTATTTCACAAGATCTTAAATGCTGTCATTTTTGCCTTAAAAATGTTTGCTAAATGCATCTAGTAAAATCTTACATAAAAATGGTGTTTCAGACTATCAGAGCGACTAAGAGCAAAACTGCCTGATGCCACCCCCACAGAGCTGGCTGGCCTGGTGGACAAGCACTCAGAATTTGCCTCCAAGTGCTGTTCCATAAATTCACCACCGCGCTACTGTGATTCACAGGTAGGAAAGCATAACCCTCTACTTATCGATAGAGAAGACTGAAAGAATTTGTGCACTCAGATTTACTTAGTTCTCTCTTGTTACTGAAATGTTATTATCACAGTGCTATTATAACTTTGTCGTCTTACCAATGAGAGTAAGAACAACTGTTTCCATATTATGTTCACTTAAAAGCAAATTTATGAAGGTAGTTACAAGCTTAGGAAATTTTATGTTTTAAGAAACAGAAAGGTTTGGGAACACAGGCAGCATAGTGTATGGTTTTTCAGACTATAGATTGGAATCTGTTAACATCTTTCAAAAAATGAAAGAAGAGAAGAATATGGTACAAATGTCAGAGTCTCTACATATGTTTGTGTGTTTATGTAGTTACATGCATGCATATGGGCAGATAAATTCATAAAAAAGATATACTTTTAGAAAATTAGATCATGCCTTCTATTTTATCTATCAAATATTAAATTTAACTTTGTTTTAATATGACACCAGAAAAATAACTGTAACTGAAGAATTTCTAAAGGTCATAAAAATGTTTCTTTACCATAGAGATATTTACTGAAATTAGAGGATTTACTATTAAATGTTAGCCATTTTTAATCATGAATATTTCTTTCAGACACTATCAGTTGGCTCTCCGTTCTGAAAGACAAAGAAATGAGAATTCTTATATATGAATTTTCCAATTTCCTTCCCCACTCCTCTCAATTTTTGTGAATTCTCTAAGTCATCTCCTCCTCTCTTCTCTTCCTCCCTTTCTCCCATTCCTTTTCCTCTGTCTTCCTCCTTCTCTCTTTCTTAAACATATTTGCATATTTATTGCATCATGTGTCTTTTTACCTTGTATAAACACAAGCTTTTCTGTAATAATAGATAAATTGGTGTCTCCCCATTCATGGTATCTGAGGCCTCTTGGTTCTCTCCTATAAACCAGCGTGAGACCAGCACTTTGTGTGCCCTCTGTCTCTTTATGAACTTCTGGACAGCAGAACACTGTGCAGGCTGTGTGGGTCATTGTTACCAGTCCTTGGCTCTCTCTGACTTCTGAGATTTTTGTCTTACACTATACTCTCTCATCAAGTCAGTTATCAACCCTACTCTGTGGAGGGATGTTTTATATGACTTTTTTAGAAATAGCCCATTTGTATACATTTTTCATTTTAACTATTACTCTCTATGAATTGCTTATATTATTTAGAAGAGCCTAAAGCTGGGGGCAACACTGTATTTCATTTTACCACATTGGAGGTAGTAGTGATAATTCTAAGAACTTTATGGTCTTACCTATTCCATTTATGGCATATAGAGGCACTATTAAGAACAACTCTGTATCATACTACAATGTTTTTTTCCCTTTGTTTAACTCTGAAACTTAATATTAAGTTGAATCCCTTTCCTACTCTGGTGGTTGCAGTTTAGGTGTTTTTTGACAGATTGAATTTATTTTTTTCTTTTGTTTTTATTTTATGAAAAAAATAAAACAAATTTTCATAACCAAATAGAATAATAATAGTTATTACACTGTGCATCATTATATTCAAAGTACTTACTCAGTTTGAGACATAAACCTTTGCTACTGGTCTTAATTGTTCTGTGTTGGCAAGGGCCACTTATGTTTTAAGTTACTTTTTTTCTTGCTGAGACAAAATACCTGACACTCAAAGTTAAAGGAGAAAAGGTTTATTTAGTTCACAGCTTGTAGAGGTTTCAGTCCATAGTTGGCTGGCTCCAAGGCAGGGTGGCATGGCAGAGGGGCATTGCAAGGAAAAACAGTTCATGGCAGGCAGAAGGCAGCAAAGCAACAAAATAGCAAAGAGCAAGTAATGATAACAGCTCTCTTTCTCTTCCTTATAGTTTATGCAGGCTACACACCCTTAGGGCAAGTAGCACCCACACCCACAGGGTGGGCCTTCCCATTATCCACTCTCAGAACTATGCCAAAACAATCAGTGGAGTAATTTAGTAATCACACATCCTTGACTCCAGTATCACACACTTAATCCCAGCATCACACACTCTAGATACAACCACCTCTGAAAAGTCCCACCTATCTACACATGAGGCTTTGGGTGGACATGTAGATAAAGCCATAACAATTTATAACAATTTAACTTCTTAGTTTTGTATGTCTTTATAGAAAAATAACTATACTGTGAAGATCAATGGCTCTTACCCTAATGATTTAATACCAATTATAAGTCATTTTCTATTAAGTTAAAGAATTTATTTAAGAATGAATTTGAATTTTTGTTCATTAATTAAATTATGAAAGAAACAAAAGATGGTTTCTTTTATAGCATATTTGAAAATATCCAAGAAATCAATATAAAAGAATCACAAAAGTAAAAATACTGGAAGAAAACTATTAAGATTATCAAGTAATTTCTCACCCAGTTAGTTCCTTCCAGAGACCTTTCAGTCCTCATTTAAATGCCTGTAGTCAATGTATTTTTTCTGGACTCAGAAATGGTCTATTTCACTGCAGGTAGCTCCATTTATGAGAACAGTCTTCTATAAATTAAGCATGAGAGTCCCTTCATAATTTCTATTGAACCTACACTGGATTTCTCTAAACTGGAATATTACTTTTCTGTTCTCAGTAGAAGCTCTTTTATACTAGAAGTGGCTTTTTAAAAATTATGCTGTAAATGGGCCGGGGATTTAGCTCAGTGGTTCCGCCGCCTCCCTTGCAAGTGCAAGGACCCAAGTTCGATCCCCGGTACCAAAAAAAAAAAAAAAAAAATTATGCTGTAAAAAGTACTTTTAAAAAATCTTAGACTATAAATACCAATTCCCTTGATATTTTAGTGAAGTTTTGTTTTGTTTTTTATTGTATTGTACCTAATAAACAAAGTTTGTAATCAGTTTGACAAATTCAGCTACATGGTGTTCATTCTTTTCTTTTTAACTTTCCTTAGGGATTTCCTTAGGGATGATTTCTCTCCTGAGTTTTATATTTACACTCTAGTCTCAAACCTATTTGCAAATCTTGTTTGTGACAATTTATAGTCAGAATTCCAAGATGGATAGTAATAAAAAGCCTGCTGCTTAAATTCTTCTGACAAAAATACGACATCTTTATCTTCCATTAAAATTTAGTAAACATAAAACTTGAACATAAACATTAAAAAAGTTGGAATATCAGGTCATTTCTATCACCGTGGACATTAAAATATTTAGCATAAAGTGATTAATAAAATTGAACAGTTTCTTCCTTTCATACTAATTTGCTTTTGATAACCTAAATTTAGGTTGAATTTAGATAAATGAAATCACCTTACCTAGAAGTTATTTGCTATTAGAAAAATTTTTGTTTTTAAAATTTTTTATTAGTATATGTTTGTGATCATCAATGATTACTTTCAGCATGGGGGTCCAATACAAATACATGTCACATCCTGATCATTTTTACTTCCCCTGTCCTTCTGTGCTCCCCCGCTCCCCTCTCTCTCCTTTCCCAGAAGCTCTCCCCATCTCTACAGAGCCTACCTCCCTGTTTCTTAACATAGCTCTTTGATTGTTGGCCATTTAAAAAGAGGGCAAAATGAGACAAAATGCTCTTCTAGATGCTGCACAGAACACCGCTGTGAAAACCTCCATGTCCTTTGGTCTCTATCTTCCAGATGCACACTTTCCTCTTGACATCACAGAAGACACACTCAAATTTAGAAATGAAATGTATGCTTCCCCAAGTCCCTTGGCTTTCATGTCTTTGACTTGCTTTTCAGTGTATTTTCCATTATAACATACTGTTATGCTAAAACACTTTTTTAGTGTTAAGTGCAGTGATGGGGTAACAGATTTCTATTTTTTTGCTTTGTCACCAGCAAACTTATACTAGCTGCTAAGTGGCCCACCATTCAGTATTTGGTAAGGAAGAGGGAGATGAGTGGGGTTGTTGAGAGTCTTGTACACAGCTGATGATTTAGAGCTCCAGAGGTTTGATGCTGTGCTGTCTCTGTGGCCTTTCTGGTTGCCCTGCTAATGCCATCTCACAGTTGAATAAGCAAACTCACTGCCTTTCTGACTTCACGTCAAAGGAAGCCTGATAGAACAGCATTCACCTTAATTCCCCACAATCAGTGTGGCTATTTGTCCTATTTGGAGCAAAGTTTATTAGGTCCTCTTGCTTTATATTTGTATGACATTATTTTTCTTATTTTTTAACTCTTTTCACTCTTATATCCAGGATTGAGTTCTGCTTGCTTTTCTACATGGACTTGGGACAACTACTGGAAAGGTAGCAAAAGAGATTAGACTAGAGTTTCATTAGGTGGAAATCCACCTCCACCATCATCCTAATTGACACTGTTGAGAAATAGAACAACCAGTGATGTTTTCTCTGGCTTTACCATGGCTGTGTCACACTGGCTCATTTGATTATGCCACAGAGGCCCACTGCCTGCAAAACAACATGCAGTTTCAAAATCAGACTTGAAATATTTTTCTCTATCCACCATAACTCAGGCAGGGCATTCCCATACATTCTTCTGAGAATCTCTTACTGAACCTCCTCTGGGATTTGACTAAGACAGATTTAGTCAACACCAAGTATGACTGGGCAAAGTCTGTAGAAAGCTGCTTTTATATGATGCAGTTCAGCACTAGAATCGTGAAAACAAATGCACACAGCCAGGTGGGGCTGGGTGGACAGAGAGTGCTGACTACACACTCCAGGAAGGACTGTCGTATTGATTCCATTCCTACACCTCTCGGGAGACAGAGAATGCAGGCACATATTTATATAATGCTCTAAAACAGCCCTGAATGTTAAGTACTATTTTTATAACCCTCTCATAGACAGGTGGAATGTGATTTACAGAGGTTATAGGATGTTAAGAAAATCCTAGGCTCATTCTGTGCATTAGTCTGTTCCTCTCACTCCACCACACTGTCAAGGTCTTCAATCCTCATTGAGCTAATTAGTACAAAAGCAAAGTCTTGATACCAAAAGACTACTAACTATTGGCTGAAAACCCAAAATTATTCTTAAAATAGCAAAAACTATACTTATTTATAGTCTCTGCTTTTCCATTAACGCTTTCTTTTCACTGCCTCTGTACAATTTGTATTAAAGTTGCTTTTCTCTTTATCTCAAAAATAAATAAATAAGAAGGAAAGAGAGGGAGAGGGAGAGGGAGAGAGACTGAGACTATGGAGATCTCCTTGGAACACCACTGCATATCCCAACTCATCACACCTCCTATTAATGACCCAGTCTTGTGCCATCTGGCTTCTGATATCACCACACCACTCCCAACATGGCCACACCAACAGGCTCCTTCTTGATTAATCTAACAAACCTTTTTCAGTCTTTGTCAGACTTTTTCAGTCTTTGTCAGTCTTTTCTACAAAACACTTGATACCCAGAATGACTTCTTTCTTCCTGAATTAATTTCTTTGGCATCTGTGGTATCATTTTCTCCCTTTTTATCACATGGTTTTTCCTTTCTAATTTTTACATTTTCCTCTTCCTCTGTCTACTCCCTAAACTTCTGTTTTCCAGAGCCTTCTCCTTGGTCCTTTTCCACTCTATGACAGGACACTTCCCAGAGTGTTCTCATCTTCTCTACATGCCTTTATCTCTGTATCCCTGCCTCCAGCCAGGATTTCTCCCCTCAGCACCAGGCATTTTCCCAAGCTCTCCAATCACATGATACCTCATCCCATAAGAAATTCAAGATCAGCTAGGCATGGCGGCACATGCCTATAATCCCAGCACCTGGGAAGCTGATGCAAGAGGATTGCTGCAAATAGGCCAGCTTGGGCTACACAGTGATTTCAAGGCCAGCCTGAACTACATAGACAGATCTTGTCTCAAAACACAAAACAAACAAAATTCAATGTCAACATGACCAAAATCTTTCCCCCTAAATTTTCTCTTATGTTTCCTAAATTTATGAATATCATCATAATTTTCCCGAAATAAAAAGTGATAATTTTTCCTTCTTTTCCATACATATTCAATCAAATTCCAAATCTGTCAACATTAACTCAATATTTCTCAATATCCTACCTCAATATTTTTCAACATTTTAGTGCCTAATTTTAGGAAATCTTTCACCTGGATCACAGCCTCCCAGTTGGTCTTTTATCTCCAATCTGTCCACAGGGCTTCACACTCAATTCCATTTCCACACTAAGTCAAATAATCCCTGTAAAACAAAATGGTAGGTAAGTTCCTCCCACAGTTTTGCATTATTTCCAAATTGAAGGCTAAATTTCCCCTAATCAAGAAATTTAGGACCATTGATTTCTTCTGTAGCCTGACCTCCTATCACTGTGTCTTGTGCCTCCTGATGGGATTCTGCTGAACTCCATGCAGTTTTCCAAAAACATTAAACTTGGTCTCACCTCAAGGCCTCTGCACAGAGTGACTCAGCCCCGTTTTCCTGTCTTTCATCAGGCTTCAGGATTTTGTTTAGACACTATCTACTCTGGGAATCCCTCCCTGGCAGTGGGCTCTTCCGATATTCCATGACATTTGTGAGCACTCACTCACTAGCATTTATTAAATTCTTTTGTCTATTTTTTTGGTCTATTTTTCCAAGAAGACTGTAACTCTTCAAGGCAGGGGACAATATAAAGCTAAATGAATGTGAAACATGACCAGTGAGAACTGCAATATGAAATTGCATTTGGCAAGACTCTTTTCTTCCAAGTTAGGTTTCAAACTGTGGTATACCTTCTCTCTGACCTAATAGTCTGCAAATAAAGGACCTTATAAATTTTATATAACATTGTTTTTGTTATCAGATTGATGCTGAAATGAAAGATATTCTGCAGTCATAATGCATATGTATTGTCTTTGGTAAGTACATTTTAAAAATACAGCACCAAAGAATCCAGCATTATACAATGTATTTTAAAATCAAAGTGGGAAGGAGATTTTATTAAAATTAGTTATCCTATTTATTATCTATTTAAATTTATTTTACAATTAGAATGCTAAGCATCTAGAAAAGGTGTAGTGCTTACATGAGTTCACAGAGCCAATTTCCGACACATTTACGGGTAACTTCGGATTTATAGATCCCCAGCCTGATACTACATCCATCATAAGTTCACAACCAAGATAATACATCATAGAGATCATTAAAGGGATCCTGGTGTCCTTCAGTAGGAGAAAGTGTAAGAACAGGGATCATCAAGTTTTAAAATAACACAGCAGGCCTGGGGACTTAGCTCAGTGGTTTCACTGCCTGCTGCACAAGCACAAGGACCCGAGTTCAATCCCCTGTACCAAAAAACAAAACAAAACAACAACAACAAAAAACAACACAGCAGGCTGTTTGGGAGGAAAAGACATTCTGCTACAACTGAAAGCAATATGGTTGGAATAGCACCACACTGGCTCCTTCAGATATTACACTTTCATTCATTTAACAATGAAGATATTAATTCATTTCCTGATGGAGATATTAAAAACCTAATAGTTTATTTAGACATAACTTCATACCTTTAACTCAAAGTGACCTTAACTCTGCACATTTCAACCAAAATATTTTCTCTCCAGATCTGGTTAGATTCATTTTAAAGAATTACATCTGGGATTTTTTAAATGATGTTTCAACTATTAATGTCACCTTCCACTGTACCTCCTGGGACCAAGCTTTTAACACCTGGCCTTTGGGGATATCCAATATCCAAGCTGCTGCAAAGGCTTCATTATGCTATCAGTTACCGTTTTTGCTCTGGCAGTAATTCTTTTGATTCATAGTCATTATTTTCATCTGTATAAAATTTTTAAATCTTTTCCCCTGTGTTAGTCTATATTTTTCTCTAGATTTTAGGAAATCCCTCAATTTTTGTATCACCCACTTATTTGGCTACCCAAATACTTTTTGATCATTTGAATAGAAGCTCAAAAGTCATTCACAAATTTCTTCCATAGATTTCAGCAAAATCCATTGGCTCTTTTTTGCTCAAGTTTACCCTCTGCCTGTTAATCATAATCTCAATAATGAATAATCATAATCTGCAATAATGAAGGCCCACCAATAATCCACCATATCAGGAATGGTTACGTGGTTTTGAAAAACAAGATTATACCTTCTTCACAAGGTTATAGGATTGGTGTACATGATATCCAGGAATAATGATACAACCTAAACCTTTTTTAGGCTTCTAAAATGCAACAAACAGGCTTCTAAAACAACCAGTTCCAGGGTTTCAGAGAGAATTTTGTAGCCCTATCAAACAACTCTAAATTCATTCAGTTACCTGCAGCTTTGCCCCAAAACAATATGATCCCAGTAATGGGCTGCTCTGAACCCAAGTCTTGATTTAATAACTAAATGTTGAGTACTTTTTCTATCAGAAATTAATCTAGAAAATATCCATTTTATTCTATGATTTTTCTCTGACTAACAAATAAGCTTGCTGGCAGCTAAAGAGGCACATTGTTTAGAGTGAAGCTGTTCCTAAACAGTTCAACTAACTTTGTGGGCCCTTATATTTCTTCTCAATAAAAACCTACTCCTCTGCAGTAAAAGATTTGAGCAGCTTATAGAAAGCGGAATCCTTTTGTCTCTAGGTGTTCTGATCCCTAGCTAAACATCTAACTCATGCTTTATAGTCAACAATTACATGGTTCTTCACAAAGATTATTACCAACTTGAGCTGTCATTTTGACAGTTTTGGGGCCCTGGATCAATTATCTTCTTCAAGCCTTCAAGCCCCTAAATTGGCTTGTGGCCATATTTGCATGCCCCACTGAGAGGGAATTACTGTCTCTGTCTCTCAGAGCCAAGTAATCTTTTCCCTTCAGCTTTGGAAACATGTTTTTAGTGTCCCCTGGATTGCCAAGGGATAAAGGTAGAATCAAGCTGGGTGAAAAACGTTTTAGATACCAGAGTCACGGCCAGCACTGAGAGCTCATACTAGGGGAGAAACAGATGGCAGGGCAAGAGAGGATCACGTTGGTATCTCCCATCTCACTCTCATTCCAAGGCATAAACTTACTGGAGACAATGAAAAATGGAATTTCTTTCAGTGTGCAAACAAGGCTCTATTAGATTGTTTAGAAAGAGAAAAAAGGGGGGGGGACAATATATTTACTGTAATCCAAATTAGAAGATAATTTCAGTTTTTAAAAACCTCATACTCATCAGTGTTTTACCAAAACAAAAACTACTGAATGACTTTCTCAGTTTGAGGAGCAGAAACTATATTACTCAGCTTTCCATCACTAGAACACAACACTTGAGTTTATTAAGGAAAATGTTGACACTTTTAGAGGTTCTAGTCCATAATTGGGCAGCCCCACAGCTGTTAGGCATCTGGCAGGGTGCCAGAGAGCAGTGGTGAGGAAGGTGAGCAGAGCGAATAGTTTACCTTATGGCCAGGGAGCAAAGGAAGGGGGGGGGTCCCACAATCCCACACCCTAGTGACCAAAGGATCTCCCATTACACACCCACTCACAGATTCTACCATGCCTCAATTATGCCAACCTAGCAATCAAGATTTTAACACATGGGCTTTTTGAATATTCAACTTCCATAGTACAGAAGGGGCCTCATTATGCCTTTCATTGCCTTTTGTGTTCTGGCAGTGATTATTCATTCTCATAAAGAAGAAAGTCAGAAACATTGTTAGCTTACAGAAAAAACAAAACACTGCATATATACCTTGGCATTACAAGAGTGATGATTTCTTTTCCTTTAATATTGGAAATTTCTTAGTTTCTTCTTCTGGACCCATAAAGTAGACCAGCTGAATATATGGATCATGCTAACTAGGTTTATCTTTACAATAAACATAAAAACAGCATGACCTTGTATGCCTCTTATGAGCAGGATTATGGTCAATGGCCATTAACTGCTTTCTGACTTACCATTCATCTCCCCTGTTCTTATAGACCTCGCACTGGAACAACCATGGAATGAGCTCTGACAGCCAAACCAAAGTATCCATGGACACCCTAGGATACTCCCTACCTTTTCCTGCTACATTGTCTTCGTGATCACCATGATGATTTGCTAAGAGAATAAACTGAAATGTAATGCAAACAATACAACTGAGAATGATGGTCTTAAGAACTGTTCACACATCTTTCACAAAGATGAGTGGGAGGCAGCCTGAACCTCACCAGCCCTATTTCTAGATCTTTGTTTTTCTCTAAATGACAACATTGATCATCCACTATATAATTTCCAACACATTGAACTCCATTCCATAATTGCTTCTCAGACTTACTGGGTGCCATTAAGGAAAAGCTAGCCAGCCATCTACCACAAACTGCCTGAGACAACTCCCTCCTTAAAAGCAAAACAAAACAACCCCTGAGACTCCCCTCTTGCTTCTTGCAAGATGCATGGCATTAGGTAGTGCCCACCTTATGAAAATAAAACCTTTGTGGCCTGAATGAGGTTTTTTGTTTGCTTTTTTTTGATAGACTCATTATAAACACAATTTTTCAACTTACCTCAATTTATAATATATAAAATCTATATGATTTTCTATGTGTCTTACTTGTCCAGGAAAAATAAAAGTGCTCTAATTTTGGAAGAAAGATCCTATTTTCAGAATAAATATCTCTTAAATCAGTACAGGCCAAGGAAAAGCTTCTAAATGCAGAGTTAATTGCACCAGAGAAGTTGAATTCACCTCATGAAATGCAGAGTTATATAGTAGAGATTAAACACATTTCTTGGGAAACATAAGTGGAGTTGGCCAAAATCATCTCTGTCATTAGCAGTATTCTAAATTCCATTAAGAAGTATTTCATTCACTGAAACTTTAACCAAGGTAAAGTGCTCCACTTTTAATTAGAAAATAAAATGCACATTCCCTGCACTTCTATCTATGGTAGCAGGTGCAGTCCTACCTTTCACAAAGATTCCAAAATGGGAAATTAATCTCAAATACAGAAACCCCTCAGATGCATGAAGTCACAAAGCAACAAAGTACCCACTACATAATTAGGCAGCATTTTTAGATATTCAAAAATGTCTGCAAAAAATTGCCCTACCAAAGCTTAAAACAACTCTGAGAAGGAGATATCATTTATAAAATATGAAAAGACAGATTTCAAAAAGGTGGATCAGTGGCTCAAAATCATAGCATTATCAAAGCACAGAGAAGGGGCTTTCCTTCAATTCCAGCATTTCACAGAAGATTAATGGGCATATTTTAACCAATTTAGTTTTGAAACATAGTATATTTCTCACTTCAAGAGTCAAAATTGACTGTATATAATTCATCATGCCCCAAATTCATTTAACCACCAACACCCTTTTGTTAGTGATTACCCAGAATAATTGCTCTGTGAAATTAATTTGGAAAAATTTTCCTCTGCTCTTATTTGAGAGATTTACAAATCTCTCATGAAGTACTGAAAACTAATCCAGTTCTTTTTACCCTTGATCAGAAAGAACTGAGCATTTCTATCACTAAGTAGCCAATAAATTTTACAAGTTGCTTGGAGTAGTGTTTTCACAGTTCCACTGAATATACAGTAACACCTTGGTTCACCAATGCTTCTGTTCGGAAACAACTGGGTTCACAAATAGAAGCATTCAGCAAAATTTTTCTTCTGCCCACAAATTCTGCATCAGGTGAGGAATACCACCGTGGCCATCTTCCCCACCCAAACACAAATGCAGCCACTTTCCCAGAACCGTGGAAAAATAGGGAAGGGTGGAGGGGTGAAGGGAGGACAGGAAATGGGGAAAAAATAAGAACCAAGAGATACCATGTAATGGTACAAGTACCCAATGATAAATGTAAATGTATTGTATACCTAAAACGTACCAATAAAAGAATCTAGGGGAAAAAAATCATTGATCCAAATATCCTGTTATTTTAGTGTTTATTTTTTATTACATATATTTAAAGATATATATATTTATGCCCATATTTTCCCATTTCATAGGAAACAAAGATCTTTTGATGCATATTGTCAAAATATGCTTGCTTTTTGTGACCCAAAATTAAACATACTTTTCCATCTACTGTCAACCATAAATAATTCCATTAGTAAATTTATTTTTAATGAGATGTCTTCAATTTTTTAATCCTTTTTATGTCACCTTCATCCAAAAACCTGGGTCCTTACCATGATAGAAGAAAAATAAAACCTTGCTTTTGTTTCTCAGAATAACATTTACAAGTTTCATCTTTCAGGATTTTCCAAGGAAACCAACAGTAGGAAATAGAAAGATAAAGAGATTTGTTTTAAAATTTTTTGCCTTAACCAGTTTGAAGCTTGCAAGTATGAAATCCACACGGCATACAGACAGTCTAGATATTCAAGTAGGATTTTTGTTATAAACTTGAAGTAGAATTTTTCTTTATTGGGGAACCTCAGTTTTTGTTTTTAAGGCATGCAACTCCTATTGGGCGAGGCTCACTCATACTATTGATGGTAACCCCTTTTACTTAAAGTCAGCTGATAGTGAATGTGAGATGCATCTATAAAATACCTTTACAGCAATGTCTACGTCAATATTTCCCTAAACAAATTGTCACCAAATCCGATCCAAGTAGAAACATAAAATTTAACTATCTCTCAAGCTTTCCATTCAACTTGCAATACTAACTTCTAGCATTTTTCTGGATTTCTAGGTCATCCCAAAGGATGGTTCTTAGACACTTCCTGAGAGGAGTGGATAAAGGGAAAATGAATGAAACTCAACCTGTTAGATGTCTGAAAGTTCGAAGAATGAATTTTAAGGAACAATGGAGGAAAAGAGTAGGAAATATTTATTGAGAGGGAGAATTATAGGTATTGAGAGAGAGGAGGGAACCCAGGAAAATGGGTTGCTGTGAACTCAACTTTACAGAGGAACTTTTATAGAGTAAAATCATGAGGTGGTACAAAATCATGAAGTGGATGTAAAATCACAAAGTGGATGGATGCAAATTACAATGTGGGTACAACGGGAGACAAAACTATGATCAACCAACAAGATTACAAGTTTAGCCACTTAGGTAATATTGATCCAATGGGAAAGTAGATCTTGTAGAAAATTTACTGGAAAGAAAAAGGACCTTTTATTAAGAGACTAATGAAGGGATCTTGGTCACCCACTGGGGTGACTGATGTTAATGTTAATTTATGGCTTCTCTCTTAAGGAGGCATGCAAGCCCGGCCATTTTATCTTTATATTGAGGCCTGGCCTCCAACAGATGCACCTCTGGCCACAGTTGTAATGTGTTTTGATTCTCAGTATTGACTGCTTCAAGGGCCTAGCCCTGGCTAACTACCTATACCTTCTGTCTAATGCAGCTGTCTATAATAGAATCACCTCACACAGTCTTCACAGGATTAGTGTACTATTATCTCACTTGGTAATTCTTGAAACATTAAGCTCCCTTTTATAGAGATTTCCACAAACACAAGTTAAAAATCATTCTAGAATATGATTTAATTTAATAGTAATAAGCCTTACTAAAGCAAAACTTGATCAGCTTTATAGTCTATCTAATTTTCTTCAGGCAATAAATAGCTAACAGTAAACAAGAAAGTTTGGAAGGTTATCTCTGACACTCTAGTCTCCCTTTCATGCACATGTCTTTACCACACAGATCTAATTGCACCATCCAACCCAGAAACATATGGAAGCCAGGGTTGGAACTCATCTGTAACCCCAAACATCAGGAGGCTAAGGCAGGAGCATTGTCAGGTTGTGGCCAGCTTGGGCTACATAATGAGATCTTAAGCAAAACAACTTCTCTTCTCAAAAAACAGTCCCCACCATCCCCTCAGAGGTTGAGATTTAATCAGTCCTCAGCAAAACTGACTATGCACTCAAGCCAGGGCTTCAGAAGCTTGGGGCCCTCACCCAAATTAGATAAAGAAAAGCATCTGAGATCAACCAACCAAACACAGTTTGGCTCAGTGACTTATCCTGCTGTGTAATAACAAGGGTTAAATTTTAACACTCCATTATTTCAATCTACCCTTGCATTTGAGTATTTTGTACATAATTATAGAATAAAACTTTTATCTTCTCCTAAAGAAGCCTCAGGCATGGATAATCATATAAATACCTGGCTTTTCCAAAGGCCCTTTCAACCTGGTCTGTTTCTTCCATGATCTGAAATATTCTTTTTCTCACTAGGCAGAAAACACCTAATGCCCTATTTTCTCAAAAATAAGATCTAACCAGAAAACAAGTTCTAGCTAGACTGGATAGGTCTTGTTTTCAGGGAAACAAGGGTTGTTCCTTCAACCACATGCACCACCACAAAGCTCATAAAAAGTAAATAATGCCTTTCACTTTTTTTTTTAAATAAAAAATGCTTTTTGCTTTTTGGCAAGTTCTAGCTGTAATTAACAACAGTAATGCCTACTTACCCATCTGTAGATCAGAAGCTTGGGATTCCTATGTTGCCTTTACCTAAGTAGGAAGTTTTCCAACTATGAATGAAATGTGAGTGCCCACAATCCTCACTGTCAGAAGAATGTATTTGTTAATTGTTTCTTCATGAAGTCTCAAAACAGGCCTGATTCAAGTAACAAGCTCTGCCTCCACCTTGTGGATACCATGTATAAATGCAACCAGCTGAACAGAAAGATTCTGAAATCAGATATTTAAAATTTTTTATCATGAAATCAACTGAAAAATGCTTTGTGTTACAGCTCTATTTACAACAATGTGAAAAGCAGTTGACAAGATACAGACACTTCAACTTTTTTCTCAGAAATCAACTTTAACAATTGTATCAATTTGGCAACTCTGTGTACATTGATTGAATGTTCCAGCAAGATGTGTCATTTAGTCACCCCAGGGTCAACTTTTTTGCTCAGGACGTGCACATGGCTTTGCAGTCCTTCTTACCCTTGACCTGTGAGGATAGCAGATCTTCAGGGAGAACACTGGACACCCTAGAAGCCAAACTCTTTGGCAAAGGTAGATGGTGCATGGTAAGATGAATAGCCAAAATAGTTATCAATGATCCTGTCAGGAGTGAATGAGATTTGAAGAATACTATTGCATCCAGAAGCTATCAAAGACTGTATACCACTGGAAGGTATAACTTCAGAATCCTCTGTGTGATTCAAAGAGCAAAGAAATTAATCCATCTGTGTGACTGGGTCTGATCCTATTAAGCTACGTAGAAGAGGTAGAAGAATACCAAAAAGTAAATGAAGCCAAAATCACATTACTGGAAAACAGACACTAAGAAAATAAATCTCCATACTAACAAGAAAGTCTTCATTCTAACTGATCCTCAATCCTCCACACACCGGAAGAAGAAGAAAGAGAAAGAGGAGGAGAAGAGGAAGAAGAGGAAGAAGGAGGAGGAGGAGGAACTCCCAACTTCCTTGAAGCAGATCAAAGGGCCACCAATGGGGAAGAAATCAAAGACCAAATGGCTGAAATGATAAAAGAAAAAAAGCAAAGAAGCTTAAAGAGT